GGAGGTCGACTTTCATCGACACTATTTCCATCCAATGGAACTCCTCTGCCCTAAAATACCGCTGCATCCTCAAAGACAACTACCTAAATGGTCACAGGTGTCGCCACGAGACCTGCCGTTCACTTTCTTCCTCTGGCATGCGGGTAAGTACTAAGCAGTATATTTTGCAACGACCTTCTGTGGAGGGCAAATTCAAAATTGGCATAGTATAATAACTGGCATTTATAAAACTATCATGGAAAGAGCCGTTGCAAGGTTGTCAGGTTCATTGCAATTACCTCTACATTGAAAGTCCAACCTGTGTGAGGGCATACAGGCATATTACTCACACTTGGGCTTGTTTTACTTACTTTCGGGCTTTTTTTACTTACTTTTGGATATAGTTGCGGTCAGATACATCCAGGGCCGACCGGAAATGCGGTCAGATACATTTAAGATAGTGCTAGTGTGACTAAGGCGCCCTGAAAAAGTCATTTTTCAGACTACTGTCTTCACCCGAAGAGAACACTCGGTCATTATAGCTGTATTTGGCACAACTTTTGGTCCAGATGCAACGATAATGACCGGGCGTTCTATTCGGGTGAAGAAGGTAGTCCGATCATTTTCCCACTTGCTTTGAACTTCTAAGTTGCTTAGGAATTGCCATCTCAGGTGTCATAGGTCCGGACTCCGGAAGAAATACTGAAAATTTTAAGTTTGGGAAAAGCTGAAAACGCAAGACGGTACAACATCAGAGCATGTTGTGTGATGTTAAACCACCAGGCACATGGCCCCATCCCAAGTTGAAAATCCGATTGAGCCTCTCCTATAATTTTGGAGGCTCAGGACAGTGCACCCGAAGGGCCAGTAGGGGGAAAAACAAAATTGGCCCATGCCATGGGGTGGCCCTACGGCCAGCCCTAAACAAAAAACAAAATTCCGCCCGCCCCCAGATGGGCCCTGTGCTGAGTCCCCTAACTTTTCGGAGAGGCCCATTAGGATTCTCCAGATGTACTGGTGGTTTGAACTGGCAGTTCAGCCAAGCCCATTTCGTGGAGCCACCTTTAACAGTTAAAACAACAACAACAACAACAACAACAACAACAACAACAACAACTGACCCAGGACACCCCGAATGTTACCTCATGCTGCAGGCCTCACCAAAAAAATGGCTGTGCGCGCTGCGACTGCCATGGTCACAAGCGGAAGTGTAGGCAAATGGCCCCTCTGTTATTTTTGGTAGGAGGCCGCCAGGCCCCTACCCGCCCTGCGAGCAGTCTCCGTTTGCAAATGGCAGCAGGCATCACTACGCCCAGGGGCGAACTGCTGCTTTTTTAAGATGCAAAACAAAGCTGGGATGCTGGTATTGATATACAAATATACATCTTGTCACAGAACTATTGACTAAGAGCGTAAGCACGTGAAGCTGTCTCTTATACACATCTAGATGTGTATAAGAGACAGGTGTGTGTGCGCGCGCGCATATATGTATCTGTGTGGGTATGTGTGGGGGAGAGAGAGTGGCCCATGTATCTTAACCCGGTTTGCCGCCTGCCTAACTGACTGTTTGCCTTTTGCCCTCTCACGGTCACTGTTTTCACCTCCCTCTATCATCCACCACATTGTAAACAGCCAGGTCTGCAAAACACATTAGAACTGATACAAGCCCTGATTACATCAGTGTATGGAATACTATGGGTCATGTTTGCTATCATTATCTTCCAGGGCTGTCAGCTGGTGACCACCAGGGGTCCATCAGTGACCACAGCGCCAGTGGTCCCCACCTCCACCCTCTCGCAGGTCGGCAAAGAAGGCAGAGAGTAATCCTGTTAAGGAATCGTGCAAGTCGTGGAACCATCCACACGTTGTATCCTTTGTGAGAGGGATTATGCTCAGCCTTGTATTCTCCCATTCTCCGAGTCGAAGCTGGCCACCACAGGCACCTTTCAGTAGCCACATGGGCAATAGAAGTTGCTGCACGGGCTGTGCCACTTTTGGCCCCTCTTGGGCACACAGACAGCTCTCTCACTCCTGACCAACCACAGGCACCTCTCAGTAGCCACATGGGCACACAGACGTTGCCACTGGGGCTCCAACCGCTGTCGGCCCCTCTTGGGCCCCGACAGACCTCTCCCGCTCCTCGCCGACCACAGAGACTCTACCCATCGCTCGCACATGCTCAACCAAAGTTGCACCAGGCGCCCAGGTGATACCACACTGTAGGGTCTGAGCATCGACAGCTGCCACCGCATGCAAAATTCTTCAAGAAAATAACACCCTCACATGCTTGAACTGGTCCCACTGGGCGCAACATTTCTTCCGGTATTCCCACAGGTACCGGCACATTGCCAGACGACAGCACCGAAACGCATTTACCAATGAAGCGGCACTTGACGAGGGGCGTCGAAGAGCACGAACCGACTGCCATGGATGGCTAGCACGACGGAGCCGCGTTGCTTCTCGGGGCTAGCCAAGCAACATGAGAAAGAGTAACCGCATATAAGCAATTAATAAACCGGGCCCGAAGTGGTCGTTCGCACGTCTTATAGCTCATTTAAAAGACTACCGAATTCACATATCACCTTCTTCTTTCAACTTAGCTGGAGACGATCATCGTCAAGACGTCGATCATAATTTGATCGTGACCATGATGCTTCTTGACCTCTTACTTTGAAAAGAATACTGGCAGCCAAATACCGTACACCTTTTCGGCGTCGACGGTTACCTGAGCTGCACAGCTGACACTCTACTACACCTTTCCTGTAAGTCCCAACTGTATCCAATCGATCGGCAAATCACTTCCGAGTCCGCCTTGCAGTCGACTCCCAGTAGACTTCCCGGCCGGGCCGACTTCTTAAGGACTACCAGTTGCCTGCTTGCTCTTGCCTTTGCATAATCGCTACCGGTGAATTTCAGATTTTGCGTCCCCGATAACTCGCCACTACCATGGGTGATTCCGATTCAATTTTGCAGTTGCTTCCCAATTGGTTTTCCACCCCCCCCCAGTGGCCGAATACTGTGG